AATTAAGATATGGTATGACAATAATTTTTTTGTTAGTTTAAATAATAATAAAATATTTTATAATTCAAAATGTAAAATATTAATTATTAAATTAAAAAGAATATTTAATGTTAAGAATGGATCAATTCATTCAATAGCTAATATTTTACTGTTTTATTTTATAAAATATTAAAATTCTTTTAAATATACGGATTTTTTAATATTTTTTTAGCACTATCATTGTGGTTTAGATAAGAACTGGGCCAGAATTAACTAGTGATCCAAAGCCGGCCTTATAAAATGGAATGGCTGGTGGTCCAAATTAAGACCCAAACCGAAGATAATGGACCAATAAAAGCATCCAGAAGTAAAGTATGGGTATGTGGGGAACAGCGGCTTCCCAAGAGTCAGAGCCAAAAGTAAACGTCAGATCTTTTATTTATTTATTTATTTTTAAATTAATCTTTTAATATCCAAAAGCCATGTTAAATTATAATTGATTTAGAGTTTACCTATATCAGAAGTTGACCAACATCAGAACCTCATCTAATACTTAGTTTTATTTTCATAAAATTTAAATTTAAAATCTAATTTTTTATTCTTTAATTAACCTAACTCCGATAAATATCTATGTATTTTATCATTTTATACATGTAGATTATATTCCTAAGTTTCATAGTGGTTCATAAAATTTGGGGTTTGTATCTCTTTGGTTCAAATTCTTTCTCTTAACCCCATAGTGGTCTAAAATTATGAAAATTTACCAAAATAGTCTCTCTGCCAATTTTCATGCTATCAAATTTCTCCTCTCATCATCTTCCGTTGAACTTACAAAATCGCCATGACCACCAACGACCATGATGCCGCTCACCGGGAAAGGAACATGAAGTGCTTGCTGTATATTGTCGCCGGAGTCATAGCACAGACCGCAGTCATAGTGCCCGTCGTGATGCTGGTGATGCGAATCCGTTATGTCAAGGTCTGATTGGGAGCGGTCACGGTTGAGAGTCTCACCACCAATTCTTCATCATGCCCTTCCTTCACCATGAAACTTAACGCACAAGTAACCGTGAAAAACACCAAGTTCGGTCACTTTAAGTTCCAGAACAGCACCGCCACATTTACCCACGGAGGCACTTCCGTTGGGGAGGCTACCATCGTGAAGGCACGCGCCCAAGCGCGGTCGACTACGAAGCCTAACGTAACAGTGACGACGAGTTCAAGTAAGGTCTCCAGAAACTCACAGTTGAGTAGTGATATCAAGTCCGGGATCATATCATTGAGAAGCCATGCCAAGTTGGAGGGGAAGGTTATACTGTGCAAGATTGTCAAGAAAAATAAATCTGCTGAAATGAGTTGCACAATGGAGGTTAATACGACTACAAAAGAGATTCAAGAATTTGAAATGCAAGTGATCAAATGCAGACTATATATGCCGGCTTTATTTTAATTTCTGTGTGTTCTGTTTTAATTTCTTTTTACTGCAGGGAGAGGTTACATGTACGGCAGATTGGAGGGACAGAAAAAAAAATGCTCTCTCTCTTTTGCTTAATCTTTGTAGTTTTTATTTTTATTTTTATTTTGTGTATTGGAGTTTTTAATGAGATTGGGTTATTTTCAGTATGTAAATGCAATTTAGATTATAAAAATAACAAAACACTCCTAATGAATCAAGACAGAGAATATTCATTAAGGCTATATAATTACTTTTAGAATATATTTGGATAAAAATTAATAGAGAAAATGTAAGAAAAAGAAG